GATGGCAAAAACTGTTGAAAAAATTAGACATTATAATTTTAATTATTTTTTCTCGCCGCATATTTGGTGCCCCTCACTCGGTGGCGCCCTAGGCAAGCGCCTATGTCGCCTGTAGGAAGGACCGCCACTGAGGTCCAGTAACATTTAGGAGGATCTACTGGCAGAAATGGTGAATTATATTTATTGGTATGTTTTCATTAGTGTATAATCATTTTTTTCACTTTAAAATGAGCCTTCCATGTTGTCCACCATGTTGACCCACCATATTTCTACAGTAGCCCAGAGCAGACAAACCAAACACTGGCTGCAGATAGGGCCTTTAGCATTTTTTTTGCCACCATAGTTTCTCCTACACACTTTCTCATTCTCATTTTGGTCAAATACAGATGCGAGTGGTGTTCAGTTAGTTGCAATCCAAATGCCACTAAATCCTACTGGTCCTTTAAAGGTCAGTTTACTCATTATGGAGAATACTTCTGAACCAGTTTAAAGTCAAGGGAAATTACTCTCTGTCATTACACTGGCTGACTACACGTTTACACAAAGCCTACATTACCACAACATTACAAACTGGGGTGTGGAGTTTGAAAGAAGTGAGTATTTACCAGACAGGAAGGGTAACAAAAAGTTTTGTGGTTTGACTTTTATTACTTAACAAGTGCAGTAATGTATCATTGCAATACCCTGTTTAATTTGCTCTATAATAATAATAACTACAAGCTGTTAAAGTGGCTGTGTACATCTCCAGTTAGATCTACAATATATTTTAGGCTAACAATCACTGCAAGTCCATAACTTAACATCAATAACACAGGGCAACATTTCAGTGTATTTTATTTTACATTATCATATTGTTACAGAAACTACAAGCAGCAGCTACCTAATGTCACAAGCCTTGCCACAACATGAAAGCAGTTTTTTCTCAGTTTTTTCTTATTCTCAGTTTAGCGGTTGTAGTGATGGACCAACACCTACATGTATGTTTCTCTATAGACTTAATGGTAACACCAGGGGATAGTTTCACAGTCCAAGAAGCTTGAAGGCATCTCTTAAATCTTCTGTTTCACAGGGCTGAGGAGGAAAGGAAACATATGATTATTGGTTTTGATCTAATCCCTTTGGCTGAAGACAAAACACGCAGCATGGTAAAACTTCTACCTGAAGGATGCGTTCGAGTTTTCTGGCAAGGCGAACAGAGTTTCGGTGCAGCTCGTCCCAGGCCTTGAAGTTACTCTGCTTACGAGCCACAAAGGTTTGCCAGCAATAGAAGAAATCTGAAGAAACAGGAAAACAATAATCATTGTTGTTGACATCCAGAAAGCGATACTAATATATTTATTTACATATATCTCTTCAGATTTATTCCCCCACCTTTGTAAGTCATGACTGTGATCTGCACGCCTGCTTTTTTCAGCATTCTTAGGCCTTCTCTTTCACGGCTATCCTCCATGTCACAAAAGTAAAGGCGAGAGACAAAGATCCTGAGGCGAAGGTTGGGCGTCTGGCTGAGGAACTGGGACAGTCTCATGGAGCAGTTGGAGCAGGGAGACCAGGAGCAGAACCAGGTGATGGAGTAACTGAGCCTCTTCTCTCCAGTACCTCCATACCCCCACAAACCAGGGCACAAGGCTCCCAGATAGCGCAGGAACAGCAGCTATGGAGAAACAGGAGAATGGAGAAAATAAGAGGGATAAAATAATCCCTATTTTTTGTCTTTTCTCCTGAACAGACTTCTCATATGCTTCCCCATCTCGACCCGCATTACTTACCTCTACATGGCAGCCGTTGCGATTGCGGAGGTGTCCAAAGTCAAAGGTTAAGGTGTCTGGCCCCACTCGCCTCTTCACTACAAAACAGAGGTATGTCTCATGCCGGCCCCTTGCCCAGCGCATGTTCTTGTAATGGTAAATAAACTTTTTTCGGGGCAAAAGCACACTAAAACAAAGGGAAAAAAGCCTTTTATAGCTAATAACATGTGCAGACAAAACAGAATCTCTTACCTACTGAATATTTTAGAAAACATTTTTAAAGTCTATTTACAAAAGCTGCATGCTCAGAATTTATCTGTCAACATTTCATCAGTAACCAGTGTTGCTGCTTTGTGAACCAACATCTTGACGGACAGATAATCTCAGTATTATTCAGCAAACACGGTGCTTTTATGCCGGGAAAGTGTGAGACAAAAATACGGTGAGGAAACTAATTAAATGACCATTTTACCTTATTATTATTCGGATGACTCAAAACAGGAATTCAAGTTTTAATCAAATAAGTTTGCACAATAAACTAATGTAAAGCTTGTGGTTAACCAAATGCAAGTGATGGACAGTCAGAAGACAACTAACATTCACTGCTTTCTGTCACTCTCAGTTTCGCAACTTTTAGCGAAACCGGGCCAGTTGTTTATTACTCATTAATACTAAAACCTCAACTGGAAATACTCAAAGGTGGTACAGTGCCATCGTTATGGAAACAGAATTCCACTGAAGAATATCTTACAGTAGTATCAAACTATCATAATTTACTTTTAAAAAATGTAAAAAATTCAATTTTTTCCATTTAATAGTATGCATGTGAAATATATATAAATGTGTCAAACAGAAAGACAACATATAAATAGGACGTATCCATTTTGCTCACCTGTCTAGCTTTGTAATCATTTTGAAAAACGCGCTTTGCTTTATCACTCGTCAGGCGTGGGCAATCAATGAAGGTAAATGACAAAGAGTGAAAGTGTGTGTGTGTGTTAGGGGGTTAAAGGGAGGGAACTGAGAACATATACCTCTAAACATAAACATCCTGCATACAACAGAGGCAGCTTCTGGTTGGACAGAAAACATTTTAAAAGTACGTTCAGGGGCGTGATACAAAAGAGATGGATGGATTGCATTGTCTTGCTGCTAAACAATTAAAGCTATAAATTAATTACTCATTCCTTTTAATGGCATCATGTTTTCATGGGTTCTGAAAACTTTAACATTACTTCACATAATGACTGTGGTGAAACCATTCTTTTGGTGCAAGGCAATAAAGGAATCTTACTGGGGAGGCAGATTACACAACAGAGATTTTACAAACTAATCTGAGTGACCACGCATGAGAGGAGGAGTGTTTGACGTTGTTTGTAACCTTTGGAGTTACTCACAGACGTCAGTAAACTGAGCCAACTGGCTGGAACTTTCCAAACACTTAAAACTCATCCAGTCACTGGCCCCCCTCCACTTTGGTTTTCCCAGATCATAAAAACTCCCAGATAACTTCTCACCTTGATCAATAGTGGAATCGCCACTGAGTCCCTCTGGCAATTCAACTTTTCCACCTAGCTAGTCACAACACTTTTCTGGGGCCCCAAGATTTTGTGGAGCCATAGGCGTTCCCAGACCTCGGAGAGGCCCTGACACCTACTTTGTCCTCTGATCTGGGTTTTCCCAAACTGTGTCAGGCTGGGAGCAGAACTATAATCGACCTCCCTCACCCTACGTGTCTGCTAAAACGGCCGGCCAGCTGACCGACCACAGTGTGTGGATAAATCTCACTCATAAGCCTTTGAACCATCAGATGCTGTCATCCGTCCACGCCAAATCAGGATGTGTATTATTTTGCTCTCGACTTTTTCTTTGCTCTGTCTGTTTTAGCTCTGGCCCAGTCTGCTCACTCAGTGGCACTGCATGCAGGCATCCTGCTTTCCCATGACTCCCCTCACCCTCTCATGCACTCTGTGGTTTGGGGAATTCACCGTTTCCCAGGGTGGCTGTTTTTGGAGCTCATCTGTGTGTGTATGTGCGCATGTGTGTGTTAGCCATCTGTATGAGCATGTCATTAACACAGTCTATATGTTATACATCATCTGGAACAAATTTATCTAATATATCCTATGATTGTGTGGTGCCCCAAAATTTAGAGTGATTCATGTGAAAGTGTCTGCATGCTCTGAGCGACCTCACATCATATTGCATTACTCTGACGGTGCACTAAGCCTAATGTCTCTGCACATTTGATCTTGTGTGCATGTGTCTTTTCTTGACTTCAAGAGGCTGATCAAATGCCAAACTATATGTAACCACTTCCCACCCAGCTCTCTGGCTTTGACCACAGTTGACCAAGGTCATCTCACAGTCACACATGGACGCTCACATTACTACCAGCCCTCTCGTGCTCTGTCTGTCTGTCTGTGTGTGTCTGTCTGTCTGTCTGTGTGTTTGTGTGTCTGTCTGTCTGTCTGTCTGTCTGTCTGTCTGTCTGTGTGTGTGTGTGGTGGAGTTGTACAGTATGGCCAGACATGGCTGTGCATTTAACCCGTACTCAGGGGCAGCAACCGGGTGTAGGAAATGCCAAGTCATACTTTCCGAAACCCACCCGCCCACACCCTGCACACGCGCACTCAAACACTCACACAGCCATACCGTGCAGACGCACGCGACCACAGTCACAAACAGACTTTCTTTCCAGTGTGTGAACTCACATCTGTTTCCTGACAACAATAATAGCTACAGATCGGGCGGGTAGAGGCCCAACTAACAGGTGTCTGCT